AACACTTGGAATGGCTCCACTAAAAGCTCTGCCTATATTCAAGAGCTATCAAAAGTCAGCACTTGAGACTGTGTCCTGCCTTTCTGCACAGATCTGCTCTTTTGGAAGATGCTCATGGCCAATGTGTAATCGATAGAGCTGGGCTTCAGGCTTAATACAGCCAGTCCAATTCCCACTTGTGGCAGTTTTCAAAATGTTTACTGACAGCTTTCAGGATCTCATTTCTTTTACTTGTATGTTTAACAATCTGTGCTGGGAGCATGGCAAATGTGGTAAGCTATTACTTTAATTCTAGGTCATACTTCATGAAGATTCTGGGCTGGGGTCTGGGTTTTTTAGGAGGTGGTGGTGGTGCTGGGAATCAAATGTGGACCTTTCACATGCTAGGCAAGTGCTCTGCTATTAAGCCCTTCAAAACAAAACAAAAATCAAAGCTCTCTACTGTACTGAAAATGGCTTGAAATTTTACCAGTTTTAACCCAGACCAAGAACCCTATTTGTGCTTTCCTTACCAATGGCACACACTTCTTAGGGCTCCTGAAGCTGGTTATACAAGTGAGCAGTCACTTTGCTGGCCCATGTTGGTGCCCCTGTCTGTACTATTAAAAACCATGCACTTCTGGAAGTGAATGTATTTCTACATCCTTAATATGCCAAACACACTCTCTTTTCTTTAAGGGAATCTATGCTTCTTTTAATTCAAGGTCACCTTGCAGTCACTTAATTGTGTGTTTCTCAAAATCTTTGTAATCCAATTAACAATTCATTTGAACATTTAAAGATGAAAGAAAATTTTTATTTTTAAACTTCATTCCTGCTTTCCTGAAACATCAATAAGCGTAATATTTGTAACATGTAACATTCTAGAGCTTTCTGAAGCACACTGGCCTCAATGATATGGTTAAATCTTACAATGTTCCTCACAAAGATAATGCATGGACCTGACAGAGGTGCCTGTGTGAAGAGCAGACCATCTGACATGCTACTTGTGCAATGGTGTATTAATGAAGCCTGTTAACATGTAGTTTAAAACTCAAAAGAAACTCTGAACAGCTGAAATGCCTTATAAATAGCACAGACCCAGAGGAAGTGCAAACGTCTGCATTGTGAATTGTAGATCTTAATTACCGACAATGGCTGGTACAGCAAGTAGCACAGAAAAAAAAGTATAACAGTTGCACTGTTCATGGTTGGCAATAATTCTTCAGGAAAATATTTACTATCAATCAGTTATGAGAAAAGGGACTCTGTGCTCGTAAAACAGCACGTTGCTTCTCATACCAGGACCATTTTGCTTGAGCATAATCTGAATTTAAACAGCTTGTTTCCTGCGGATACAATTTTGGAAATAAATAAAACAAGTCTTCTATCAAAATCTGGAGTAAGTGGAAGTAACATCACATTTTTCTGTCTCAGTCAGTTTCAAGCAGATTATTAGTCCCAAGTAAAAAACAGTAACAACAAACAAAAACCAGAATATCTACACATGTCTAATGAGGAGGTTTACTTTCCACACATAAAGAGGCATAAGAGGCATAACTTCTATCCAGCCCAGAAATCAAGGTAGATATACTCAAACAATTTGACTCTAGCTGTGTGTATTTGTGGATGCATGTGTGGCTATGCATATGGGTAAACTATAGAAGAGCTTAAAACTAAAATTTCAGCAGTACTTCAAAGAGTCAATAAAAAAGAGAACATAAAAAATTAATTCTGTTCTTCAGTTTTCCAGTTACTTCCTTTATAAAAAAAATTACAAAGGTTGACAATTAGGTACAAGGAGATTATGGATTTTAAAGACCACACTGATAGTCAATAACGACTGTCCATTTAAGGCTATAATAAATGCAGGGCTCATCATGTTCCAAACACAGATCTCATAAACTACAGGACTATAATAAGGGGAAAGCTTTTTTTTGGGGGGGAGGGGGACATTTCATTGCTTGTAAATATTGCCTAGATTAAGTTATACTGATATAATGATTCCCCCTTGTTTTTATTTCTACAAAATAGGCCTCTTTCTTCAAGTTAAAGATTGAGATTACTGTCAACCTAGAGTAGATATGGTTTGTCTTACATTTTATTTTATACACACACACACACACATTTGGGGGAGGTAACTAGGGATCAAACTCAAGACCTCGTGCTTGCCAGGTAGGTGCTTATGCCACTGAGCTAAATCTCTGGTGTATTTTCTTGTATTTTAAAGAGGACTAGTAAGACTAGTATTTCTGGCAACAGAGAGCTACATAACACATACAGAAAGGATCTCAAGACAAGTTTTCTGCATTTAAGGAATAGTATTAACATTCTCTTTACAACTTATATAAACAAAACTCAATAATAAGGTTTTGGACTAATAAGTATCTCCATACAACAAAAATCATTGTTGTCAGAATTCTGTTGCTTTGAACTACAGGATAAAATAGTTAACATATTACAGTTGTTCTCATGTGGAGATGGTTGGACATTCAGGGTACAATGGAGTATAGTCTGAATCAACAAAAGACATTTGTACCAAGTTTTAAAAAAAGTCATTGCAGTCGTATCAATGTAGCAAATGAAATTATTCGGTTAAGGGTTAAAGGTAAAGTATGAGAAACAAGGACAAGTTTGCAGACCTACAACAATAATGGCAAGAGGCCAGGGATTTAGCTCAGCAGTGCAAGCGCTCACCTGGCAAGCATAAGGTTGTGAGTTCGATCCCTGGTACCAAAAAGAAAGAAAGAAAAAAAAAAAAAAAAAAAAAGGCAAGTCATTTCTTTCAAAGATTAAGTAACAAATGAGGCCAAGAGAAACAGGACAAAATCACAAGACACATGTAACACATGTAAATAAAAAAAGGGAAATATTTTTCCTACTCCCACACTACTGGTATCTCTTGGGAAGCTGTTGCAATAAATAACTTTTTGACTACATATTTTGATTTGCCATTCATCAACTGATTACTGGTTCAAATCTAAAAGCAACAAACCAAAAGACAGGATATGGGGCCAATAAGAAACCAGAAGCTAGATGGATTCCAGCAGTAAATTATAGAAATCACTATTAGAATACTTAAAAGGAAAACAAAAGGAAGTAGCTATCTGACAGTTAAAATAAGCAAGAATGTGATGAAAGGGTGATCATTTGGGAGCAAATAAACAGACTGATGAGAAGCAATAAGCAAACTTACTTCATTACCCCAGTGCATGGAAAATACCATTCACTGTGCATTTCTATGTGTCTGGGAAGAGAGGACAGGAAAAGAACCCAAATGGACTCCACAACACACTCACTCACACTGACAAGACTATGTAGCTCAGAGCCCATGGCTTGTGGAGTATGGGAACGAAAGGCACAGGGCTTGCTTGCCCAGCTTTCAACAAAACTCACTCAAGTTGTCACCCTGTTCTTAGATTGGTGTGCACGCTAAGACTGTGCCTTTTTAGCCTTTTCTTTCTTTCTTTTTTTGGTCTTTTTCCTTTTTATCGGTACTGGGGATTGAACTCACGACTGCCTCTTGCAAGGCAGGCGCTTATGCCGCTGAGCTAAATCCCCAGCCCTTTTTTAGCCTTTTCACCACTTAGATGAAAGGGACAGCAGTATGGCCAAAAAAGGTCGTAACTGCACCCATGTATTCATACACAAATGCTGTACTATAAAACAGGGCTGAAGGAAGGGTTTGCGAATGAAAAAGGAATAAAGATGTATATGTACATGTACCAACTTCCCATGATGAATGTAATCATAATGTATGCAAACGTACCAATGAACAATTTTTTTAAAAAAAAAAAACAAGGTCAATTAGCACTAGACTAGTTTTGACTAAATGATTGAAAAAACAAAAAATAATTTTGCTGCAAAAATTCTGCAGCAAATTGTTAAGATCTGAATTTAGCACACTGATGGATTCTACCTTTTATAATAGTAAATTCTAGTATTTCGTATGAAGATCATCCCAATGGTTATATTTCTCATGTTTTCAGTGAATAAAATCATTTTTCTTAAAGTGAAAATAAAAAATACTGCTATTCCTATGGTTTGCACATTTGAATTCCCCTAAAGCCAGAGCTTTCGTAAATAGCATTAGTGGGCACCCTTAGCTAGTTCCTGCCATTAAGTGAGGGTGCAACAAGAAGCTCTGTCTAGATACCAAATCTATTAGCACCTTAGCTTTGGACTTCTCAGCCCCTAAAACTATAAAATTACTATTGCTTATACGAGATAAAATTACTGTTGCTTATCAGACATCTGGTTTGTGGTAGTCTTGTTACAGCAATCTGAAAAGTGAGGACAGCTATCCTCCAATTTTGCAAAGACGAAGGCTACGTGATACCAGTCCTATCTCTATTGTTATAACAAACTGTAAGTAACTGAAAGCCTGTGAGTGAGACAGCAGATTAAAACAAAGTTGAGACAGTTCTAACAGTGACAAATCCCGAAACGGTAGTCAAGTTTTATTTTTGCAGATAAGTAAAGTAGGAGTCTAGAAGTCAAGCCCATGCTGACTATCACTCCTGTGGTAATCAAATGGCAGATACTTGAAGTCAAAGTTCTTCAGCAGAGATACTTGGAAATCTGAGTCAGAGTTGACTGAAAAAGCTCCAGATATCTGATACTTAAAATTATTTGTGTACTAGTCTACAGACATGGCACACACATTTCTACACGAAAGATGTGGCCATACACATGACTAAACATACTTGTGCTCTCAGCTAGAGATCACCTAAAAAAATATTTCTACATTAGCTACTTAATAACTACTACTGCCATAATAGTTGCATTTTAGAATATTTCACAACTGTGCAATGCTATCCTCTATACTTTTCTATTGATTCTCTGTAATTACATTTAAAAACCATGAAGGAACCTAAGAAAATTCCAGCGTACAATATGCTCTGGAAAAAACACTAACTGTATTCTTTTCTGTAATTTAGCAGCAATACTGAGTTAGATGCCTACAGACATCGCATTGTTCTGATGTGGTACAATATATACTGGTGAATAGTATTACTTACTTTGGCCACACAGTTTTCAGTCTTCATAGCAGTACTTGCTAAACATACTGTTTCTTGGTTTAAGCAGAGTCTGGCACAGCTGTTGTATGTCTATAAAGAGAATTTTCACAAAAATTCAGAGTTTTGAGATATTGAAAAAGTGTCATATGCAACTGTCAAATCAGCTCTATTTCTCAGAGTCAATACACAAATATTTGTAAATTCCACATTTACAAGACATAAAAGACAAGATAGAAAGGACAAAGCAAGCCAAGCATGGTGACACATACCCATAATCCCAGCACTCAGAAGTTGAGGCAGGAGGATTGCAGCGAGTTCAAGGGCAACCTGGGCTACATAGTGAGTTGAAGGCCAGCCTGAACTGCATGGAACTCTGTGTCCAAAAAAAGGAGAAGGAGAGGAGGAAGAAGAAGGTATTCCTAAAAGATGTTTTTAAGGTCTGAGTAAGTATTGGTAAATGTTCTTTAAAATTTGGCTCTCAATTTTGGCTTATATCCTTTTGCCTGTGGATACAAAAGCAAAGGGTGTGTTATTTTGAGATGGGTTCTAGTAAGTCATTGTGTTGCCCAGTCTGGCCTAGAACTTGTGACCCTCCTGTCTCAGCCTTCCACAGTACTAGGGTTAAACTTTTACAGGTGGTATAATCATGACTCTCAAACTTTAGTTTGCCTCAGAATCATCTGGAGGACTGCTAAAATGCAAATTGCTTGGTTCCCTTCTAGAGCTTCTGAGGATTTGCTTTCTTTTTTTGTTTTAATCTGAGCTTGAAGCCAGGGCCTCCTGCATGTTAGGTAAGTACTCCATCACTGAGCAACATCATTAGTGCATTTTTTATTTTGCGATAAGATGTTGCTTAAATTATCCACACTGGTCTTAAACTTGCATGTGTCTTGGCCTCAAAGAGAAGCCAGGATTACAGACATGTGCCACTACACCTACTTAATCTGTTTGCTTGTTTGTTTTCTGAGGCAGAGTCTCAACTCTGCAGTTCTGGCTGGCCTTGACTTCACTTTGTAGCCCAGGTTGGTTTCAGAATTTGCAACTTGCAGTGATCCTCCTGCTTCCGCCTCCCAAGTGCTGGTATTGCAGGGATGCACCACCACACCTGGCTTAATCTGTATTTTCAAAAGGTTTCCAGTTGATGTTAGTACAGCTTATAAAGGGCACAATGTTCCAGAAAAATACTTGTTTTGGAATTAAGAAGAAGTCTTAATCCATAGAACAATCTCATAACCAATGTTTTCTTCTTTTGTGGGGGGCATTTTTTCATAATCAATAGTTATAAAGAATCCATTTAAGTTGGGCACAGTGGTGCACAACTATAATTGCAGCACTGGGGTGGCTATGGCAGAAGACTGCTAAGAGTTCAAAGCCAGCCTGGGCTACATGGTGAGACCCTGTCATTCACTCACTCTCTCACAGACAAACAAACAAATAAGCAAACAAACAGCAAGGAAAAAATCCTTTTAAAAATTGTAAGATAGTTTTAGATTTACAGAACGGTTGCAAAACTACACACTGTTTTATCCAGCTTCCACTTACATTAATATTTTAAAGAACTATTGGGCAGGGGATTTAGCTCAGCAGCATAAGCGTCTGCCTGGCAAGTGCGAGGTCATGAGTTCCAATCCCCAGTACTGCAGAGAGCCAGGCATGGTGGCTCACACCTGTAACCCCAGCACTCGGGAGGCTGAGGTGTGAGGATTGTTGCGAGTTCGAGACCAGCCTGGGCTACAAAGTGAGCTCAAGGCCAGCCTGAACTGCATAGCGAGACCCCGACTCAAAAAAAAACATTTATCAAAACTAAGACATTAATGTGGTAAAATATGAAGAGCTGACCTTACTCAGGTTTTACCAGTAGTCTCTCTAAAGGCCTTTTTCTGTTCAGGAACTAATTCTCCTTACTCTTATCTTTGTCTCCTTATTCTCCTTCAGGCTTTTTTGGGACAACTCCTCAGCCCTCTCTAGCTTTGAAGACTGACCCTTTGGAAAAGCACTGATGAGCTCATCAAGAGGATCCCCTCCATCTGACTCCTCACCATCAGACAGCGGTGATGACTGAGCTTACACACAGAGGTGACACCCTTCTCAGTGCAATAAGGCAGCAGGGGACGCACTGCTCCTCTCTGCTGCAGGCAGCCCTGATAGCCTGGCTAAGTAAGACCCTGTCTACCATGAATCTCCACTGGAAACTTTTCTCTAGGAATTGCTAAGTGTAAATACACCAGGGGAAAAACTTTGTTCTCCTACTAACGTTTGTTAACTCTGGTATCCACTGGTAGATCCTGTCCATGATCATTTTTACTACGGTGTTCTAATGGTGAAGCTTTAAAATTTATCTTTCTATATTTATTAATTGGAACTCTTCTGGAAGAAGCACTGTGATGTTTCCCCTACCTATTTACTCACTTGTTTATTTATTTATAACAGTAAGAACATACTGTACAGAGTTTTTTGGCCAACTACCATTCTTTGGAAAGAAAACAGGTAAATTATTTTTAAATAAAAAATTATTGGCAGTATATAATCACTATTAATATTATTAAATTAAATTTCCTTCTATATGAGTTAAACCTGCATGCCTGTAATCCCAACACTTGGGGGCTGAGACAAGAGAATCACTAATTCAAGGACAGCCAGGGCTACATAGCAAAACTGTTTCCAAATAAAAAGAACTAGACATGTGAAAAAGTACATAAATATGATCCATGGTAAAGGAACTGCCTTGCAAGCAGGCAGTCATGAGTTCGATCCCTGGTACCGATAAAAATGAAAAACACAAAAAATATAAAATAAAATAAAATAAAATTCACTGGATAAGTCCGAAAAACCAGTTGGGAAAAGGCCAATGAGCTGAAGACAAACACTGAAATCATATAAACTGAAGAACAAGCAAAAAGGAAGCAGAAAAAAAAAAAAACTGTATGTGGGACAATTTCCAGTGATATAACAAATGTGTAATTGCAGCCTGAGATAAAAACAGGGGTACCAGAAAAGGTTTTAAATGCCTGCTGTGCCTACCTATAATTCCACCTACAAGAGAAGCTGAGGCAAGAAAAACTGCAGTTCAAGCCCAGCCTGGGCAACTTAGCAAGATCCTGCCTCAAAATTTCAAAAGCACTTGGGGACATAGCTCAGTGGTAGAGCCACTCAGACACCAGCAAATGTGAAGCCCCTGTGTTTAGCTCTAGCACAAACAAACAAAACAAACACAAAACCAAACACCTCATCAAGCTAGGAATAAAAGGTATTTTCCTTAATCAAGGACATTGGGAAAACTTCAAATATCATAGTAGATTGGGAAAGACCTAATATTGTTTTGCTGAATGTGGAAACAAGGTGAGATGTTTTCCTATCACTTTAGTTAAAACACATTAGAGATCAAACCCCTCCCCCCAAAAAAAGCAAGAAAAAGAAACAAAAGGCAAATAAGTTAGACAAAAAGTTAAGCCATTATTCATGTGACAGAAAATGTGATCAATACTCAAAAATCAACTGTTTCTATATTATAGCAACAATCAGAGAATGAATAAAATTTGTAACAGCACTGAAAAACATTAAATATTTAGAAATAAATTTTGAAGCTACATGTAAGAAATGTATACTGAAAACGAAAATATATTGCTGAGAGTCTGAAAAGCTTAAGTGGCAACCACAGTTACCAGCTAGAAGATTCAAATTGTTAAGATGTTTGCTTTTAATAGAAACTGTTAAGTTGATTCTAAAATCTATTTTAAAATGCAAAGTAAGCTGGGGATACAGCTCAGCAGCACAGCACCTGCCCAGCAAGCATGAGATTGTGAGTTTGAGCCTCAGTATTCTCCCAACAAATAGCAAAGTATCTACACTAATCAAAACATTAAAAACAAAACATTCTACTTGATTTCAAGACTTGATGTAAAGGTTCACTAATCAAGAGTATGAAAAAAGAGAGCCTAATTTTTGGTCCTAACTCTAGGGACTGAAGTAGCAGTGGCTCAGCACCTCAGATACAGCTGCCCCACTGCTCTATGCCCAGCAGCAGCATCTCTTACAAGAGATTCAGAAACTGACCGCACTTACAGCTAACGGATATTTGACAACCATTCCCATGTAATTCAGTGGGGGAAAGGAAAAGTACATGGACACTGAAATACATGAACAAAAGTAGGAAGTAAGCTGGGCGTGGTTACGCACGCCTATAACCCCAGCACTCAGGAGGCTGAGGCAGGAGAATCATGGGGAGTTCGAGACCAATTTGGCCTACAAAATGAAGTCAAGACCAGCCTGAACTGCATAGTGAGACTGTCTCAAAAAGACAAAAAAAAAAAAAAAAAAAAAGTAGGGTGCCATTAATGAACCCAAACACTGCTATGTAGTGCATGGAAGACTTCAAGATGGATCAGACACTTAAACATAAAAGCTAAAACTTATAAAGCGTCTATAGGAAAACTTACAAGAATATATTCATAGTCATGGGGTAAACAGAGAAAAAAGTCATAGACCAGACTTCATCCAAACAATTAGAAATTTCTTAATACATGCCATAAATAGGGAGGCCAAAGACTGTGAGAAAATATTCAAAACACAACCTTTGACAAAAAAACTAGCATTCAGGATTCAAAAGCTGAGTTCTAGAACTCACCAATAAAAGGCAAACAGTGCAATTTTTAAAAATGGCTAAAAGCGGGGCTGGGGATTTAGCTCAGCAGCAAAAGCACCTGTCTTGCAAGCAGGCAGTTGTGAGTTCGATCCCCGGTACCAATTAAAAAAAAAAAAATGGCTAAAAGCTAGCTGGTGTTAAGTGCCTTCAATCAGATCTCAAGTTCAAGTCCAGCCTAGGAAATTTAGAAATTTAGCAATTTGAGGTTGAAGATATAACTTAGTGCAAAGGCCCTGGATTTAATCTCTATTACTATGGGGGGGGGGGGCGCCTGTGCTACTTCACAAAAGTAGCTGAATAACCAGTAAGTACAATATTCATAGTAATTTCATTTATAAATACAGAAACAGCTCAAGTACCTACTAAAAGAACAAAAGAGTACAGCACATTTACTGAACTAAATAAAATAAGAACTACTAATATATACAGAAACAGATGAATCTCATGA